GGCACAAGCAGTTAAGTGCGCGCACTCCACTGTGGCAGCCCAGGGTTCGCTGATTCAGATCCCGGGCGCGCACCGCAGCACCTCTCGGCAAGCCATGCTGTGGCAGCGTCCCATATAAAGAGGAGGAAGATGGGCACGGATGTTAGCCCAGGACCAGTCTTCCTCTCCAAAAAAAAAAGAGGAGGACTGGCAGATGTTAGCACCGGGCTGATCTTCCTCACAAAAAAATAAAAATAAAATAAAAGCCCCTGATTTTTACTCCCTAGTGGGACATTATTTGGGTTTCTACCTGAATCTGTGTTCTCCGAATTGCAATTCTTTGATTCCCAAAATAAATGTCTCTTTGCCTCTCATTTTGGCTCTTTATTTTTAGGTTATCATTCGGTAGCTTTAGGGGACCTTCCTGCCAAGACACAGACATGAACCTGGAGGCTCAGAGGGGTAAAACGCAAGGCTCATGGCCTAATTACAATCTGCCAGGCAGATGAGTGAAACTATAACACACATCTTTGCTTAATATCAGTCAGCAGGAAATTTCCCAAAAGGCTAAGAATTGTTGTATGTGAGAGGGGATGACGATAGGTGACTTTGAGGTTTTCTTCTTATACTTATCTGTATTTTCCAAATTTTAAAAATTTGTAAATATTAATTACACACTGAAAAATACCATTTGAAAAATGAAGCCATGCCATAATATGGTAGACTCAGTTATTTGGACCAATCCTCTCATTCAAAACAACTAAAAAATGCTGGATAAATGTTGAAACAAGTCCTCTCAAAGGCTTCAGAAAGCTAACAAGGAGTAAAGAATCACAGAATCAGAACCTAAGTAGAAACAAAAAAATTGGGTAGAAACTGGGCCCTGGGATGGCTTTTGCTTCCAGGAATGAGCAAGCATTGCCACCTTTGACTTCGGTTTTGACAGCCTCAAAGGGCAAGGGAAAAAAATCATTCAATCCAAGGCTGCCCCTGGTAGGATCTGAGGAGATCCCCTGCGGGTTAAGCTGAAATCCCAAGAGCTGTGCCTGCAGGATGAGGGGGAAGCAGAAGTAACCCTGTCTCCAGTACCTTGGGAACCACAAGGAAGTCACCTCAGTGTTGAGCTGGGTGGGGAGGCAAGATCCCTGAGATATTGTAACCACATCCCAGTCCTTCCTTAGATTTTCAGCCTAAATTTGCATCACCTAGGTTGTCAAAAAAAACCTTAAGCCACAAATCTGGACTCAGGATGTCATGACCTGGCAGTGCCCATGGTTGTCTGGAAGAATCAAAAGCTATTCCCCTCTGGAGAAAGATGCTTTCACTGAAATCTTTCAAAGGATATTCATGAGCAGTTCTCCAAAAATAATGGACAGCATTATTGCAGCACAAACCGATTAAAGTACTTACTTTATTTAAGGAAATAAAAGACAAGCTCGAAAATATCCACAGGGAACAGGAAGCTATAAAAGTGACCTAGAGAAAAGAAACAGAACCTTTGAAAATATACCAATCATGATTAAAAATTATATGGAAAGGTTAGACAGATTTGATGGGGCCAAGCAAAGAATCCATGAACTAGTAGATAAGTCAGAAAGAATTATCCAGAATGCAGCACAGAGAGACAAACAGATGGAAAATGAAGAGGGGTTAAGAGACCTGGAAGGGAGAATGAGAAAGGATGGCATGTCTTTAATCGGGGCTCCAGAAGAAGAAGAGAAAGAGAAAGGAGCAACAGCATTCTCTGAAGAGAAAATGACAGAGAAATTCCCGGACATGATAAAGCCGCCATCCACAGGTTCACGAAGACCACCAATTCCCAAGCAAGATAAACAAAAAGAAATTAATATCTAAACATATTTTAGTCGAACTGCAGAATAATACAGATGAAGATAAAGTCATAAAAGCAGTTAGAGGAAAAAAAAATACTTTCCAGAAAGATCTTTGGAAAACCTCCAAATGTCTAGACACTAACACATTTCTAAGTAAGCCAGGGGTCTAAGAAGAAATCAAAAGGGAAATTAGGAAGCATCTCAAAGTGAATGAAAATCAAAACACAATGTATTAACATTTGTAGGATGCAGCTGAAGCAATATTTAATGAAAAATTGAGAGCACTAAGCTATTAGTTATATCGAATCAAGGAATTAAATTAGAAATAAATAACCAAAAGATCTCCAAATAATTGGAAATTAAACAGCACACTTTAACCCCAAAGAGGAGAGAATTTTGCTTTCAGCCACACTGGAGCAACAAGACTGGATTCACTCTTCCCCTCAGACAACTAGACAACCAGACAAAATATATGAAACGATGATTTGATTTCACTTTCTCCTTCCTTCCTTATTCCCTGCTTCATTTGACAAGCATTTGAGGAACGTCATCATGTTTGTCTCATTAGAACAAAACCTGCTGGAAGCGGCGGCTGGGTCTTCTGTTTTTTATCTCATCTGTTCTGGAACAATGTTCACATGTTGTAGCATCCAATTAATGTTGGTAAACGAAATGATCGTCAGTCAGTTCAAAATCATGACCTCATTTCACAACACATAAACTCTCTTAAATTTGTATTTTGCTTTTTACTTTTCTAAGGTTTTCATTATTTCATTTGATCCTCCCAGGAATTATATGTAGTAGGTGGGCGAGTTTAATATTCTTACTTTCCAGATGGGAAATGTGCAAAGAATCACCTCATTTATATCTTACTTGGAAGATCTTTCCAATTACACTGCTTATTTGTGGTGAGGGTAATTAGAAGTTAAGTAGGTCCATAATTAGTATTTTTATTCTCTTCTGGATTTCAACTTGAAGACAGCAGAGGGCGCCTGGCCACACAAAAGTACACAGGCTAAAAGTTAATGATATAGTAGATTTAAGATAATCCATTAAAGTTTCAAAATGTGAATTTCATGAGAAAGGATGCTGTACTTAATCTTTTACTATTTTAGGATACTGGTCTCATTGTAAATGTTCTATTCTCTTTCTTTCTGGGCAATAAGAATTTGAACCCTACGTAAATCACCACAACATATAATCCAAGAGCCTTCCAATTTAGCTTCAAGATTCTTTCAGATAATAAAAATATTAAACCCGTGTCTACCAGATCCTTCTAAATCTTCCATGGGAATACGCTCCCCCTTTTGCAGCCCTTGAGAAGGGACCACTGTAACATATTGCAGACAGATACAGTGTGACTGAACGGCCATTTTACTTCAAGTGCACTGCCTCAAGGTTACCCAGTATTCTTAGGAGAGTATAAAAGGATTAGGTATGTTCTTAAAGTCGTCTGGCACTAGAGAGAAAGTAACAATTCCTAGGCCAATAGTGAGGACTTAGACTTTTGTAGCTCGCTGTCAAAGATGATTATGCCTGGAGGCTCAGGAGCCAGGTGTCTGTGAAATTCTGCAGCTCTTTTCTGATCAGCTTCTACCTGGTTCTTGTTTTCCTATCATCACACGTGTTCTCCTAGTCTACAAGCTGTGCTGGAGATAGTGGCAGCTGAATCCTATTCTACCCTTTCTTCCCATAGTTTCCCCAAATTTTACTCTTCTTCTTAGAGAAGTAGGCTTCTGAACAAAGGTTGGAGTTGTTTGGAAAAGCATTCCTCTCTGGCTGCTCAGTGATTGGTAATCAACTGGATCTAAGGTAATTTCTTTAGGGCTGAGCCCTGTAGCGGTTCACTTACGAAGTAAGAAACTAGATCAGTTCCTGATTCATGCTTTCCTTTTGCCAATTTTTCGCTTGTCCTTGTCCTTAATTTGTCCTCTTTCCTTGATTAGAAGCCCAACTATGACATCTTCCAAGTAGTAATAAGCATTTTCACTCTGTCCTCTCCAAACCATAGCATTCCATGTCCTACAAATGGTTTTCCCGTTTATTATGTCATTTGGTCAAATCCTAGAGTATAATTTCCTAGAAGGCAGTTTTTCTCAGGCTTGGTAAGCTGATTACCCTTGGAGGGGGTGTCATGAGCCCTGTTCTACTGATGGAGAAACAAAGTCCTCTAACACAGGATATCTGAGTGATGTGGGGCTGCTGAGTCGTGAGTCGAAAAAGAATTTTCAGACACGAGCTGCTCATTCATTCGTCCACCTTTTTTTGTGTGTTCAGCACAGGGACAGAACCCATGGGCAGTAAAGAGCTGCAGTGCAAGGGTCTGTGCTGGGCATTATATACGATTTTAGCTATTCTACTATACTATAGAAATGTCAAAGGACAAAGTATTAGGTTAGTCTCAAAGATTAGGGCATGGTGGCAGATGAATGAGATATGTCCTTGCATTCCAAGGTACAGTATGCTTCAAGGAACACGGGGCCAGGAGATTAAGTCATTGATCATCTCCTGAGGCAAATCCCTTTGCTCCTAGCCAGAGGCAATTGAGTAAGCAAGGGCATGCGAGACTGAGTGGAATCTCATGGAAATTGTAAAACGAGTCATAAACAAGGTTTCAACCACGTGATGAGGACAGTCGCATAGAAAGCGCAATGATAGGACCGAGTTTTTCATTTCAGCACAATATCCTCAGGACCTAACACAGCATCGTGGCATTTTGTGCCGGGGAAGGGATTGTCTTCACTTGGGGTCTGAAAATCCTTGGAAGTGTATGAACATCTTTCTGGGGAATGAAGCCACAGCAATCATTGTGAAAAAAGGTCCAAGGTAGAAAAAACGTGGGTCTACACTGGGCTAAGCAATTTGCCTAAATATAGTAAACACTACAGCCGGCCTTCCTGCCCAGGATCGGTAGCTCCGAAAACGACAGGGACCGAGTCCCCTGGGACAGCTGAGGACGGTCCGAGAAGACAAGGGGCGCGGCCTGGCTACTTTCAAGCGGACGCCACTCAGAACCGGAAGCCCCCATACCGGTTTTCAAGCACCGGGCAAAATTGCATCCGGGCTCCCGGGCCTGTGTACCCGGAAGCGTGCGCGGGGCGGGCCGGAAGTGACGCGTTTCTGCGCGCCGGCCGCGCCCCCGCGAGCACGCCTTGCCGATTCTGCAGCGCGCTGCTCCTCGTCTTCCTGGGAGTGGCGGCGCTGCCTGGGACCCGGCGCAATGGGCAAGAAGGGCAAGAAGGAGAAGAAGGGCCGTGGGGCGGAGAAGACGGCCGCCAAGATGGAGAAGAAGGTGTCCAAGCGCTCGCGGAAGGAGGAGGTGAGCAGGGCCGGCAGACAGGAACCCGGGCGCGCGTCCCCCTCCGCGCGCTGCCCTGCTCCTCTCGGCGCTGCTGCCTTCGTCCCGGGCCCCGCGCGGTGCCGGGCTCTGCTCTGCTGGGTGCTGGGAGGCCGGCAGTTAGTGTGGGGGACCCAGGGAGTGGGCGCGCCTCTGCAAGGGTGTAGTCGGAGAGCGAGGGCCTTAACTCTGAATCCCACTCCTCATCTTTGAGAAGAGGGTGAACGATCCTCGCGGCGGCCCCGAGCAGTGAGCGTTGTGGAGAAGGGAGTGGAACCGTGGGGCATTCCGTAACAGTTATGGTGACCGCCACTGTTTTCTTTCTCTCTCTTTCTCTCCCTCCCTCTTTCTCCGCCTGCCTTCCTTCCTCTCTCTCTCTTCCCCTCCCTCTCTCTCTCTCCCTCCCTCTCCCTCTCTCTCTCCCTCCCTCTTCCTCTCCCTCTCCCTCCCTCTTCCTCTCCCTCTCCCTCCCTCTTCCTCTCCCTC